GAGCGCTGCCAACAACTTAGTGATCAACTTGCAGCAATGCAGGAGCAATACGCCACACTAGCGCAGAGCTATGGCGCTCAGAGTATTAACAATAATCATAGTAATAGTGCCGCTAGTTCTACTCCATCTCCGGTGGAGTTTGTCCTTTATAAAGATGTCGTTCCACCTTTCAAGGCCGAAACTCCTGCTTCACAACCATTAAAGCGCCATCAGGAAGTCGAATCCTGGCTCAGGCACATTGAAAACGCGACGCAACCACGAACGGGCGATGCGTACATCAGAGCTGCGAGTTCATGTCGCGGGACTGCGGATCTTGTAGTTAACTCGCCTATCTTTGACGGAATCACTTCATGGGTGGATTTTAAGGAGAAACTTAGAGTAAAGTTCAGGGGCACGTGTTCATCTACCGACTTCTTCAACCACTTGAGTAACTATAGATTGGCTCCAGGGCAAGCACCAATAGATTTCTTTGTTACTATAGAATCCATCGTGTATCAAGGTGTAAGGGATTACCCGCGATCTGTTGGGATGCCAGACGAATTAATCCGCCGTGTATTCCTGCAGGGTTTACCCCAGTGGTTAAGGGAAGCTCTAGCGTTAAAAGAGGAAGACCCTCTTCAAGTATTGATAGATGCCGCGCAAAGATGTTGGAGCGCCCGTATGAGTCTATGGGAAGTCAGGGGATACCAAACGATCGGACCTCACGCTCTCGAAAATCTCCTATGTATTGTTCCTTCCATAAATCGCACACCCACAATACGAAAGATTGTAAGGGGAGGCAGGCTACGCCCGGAAGTAATGACTCATTAAAGTGCTACACCTGTAATGAGGCAGGTCACCTCTCACGAAACTGCCCCTTTTCCACAGCCCACGGGACGCGCCCATTCCCAGCCTCCCGTGCGGCGAATTCGGCGGGAAATCCCTTCAGCCACAAGTAACGAGGCCATGGCCATGGTTTCACCTGTTAATGACAAGATTAAAGTAGGAAGGCCACTTATATCTCTTAAGGTTAACGGTGTTTATTGCACTTGTTTTAACGACACAGGATCAGAAATCACATTAATGAAACAGATTGAAAACTGATTTGAATATACATTCACTTAGACCGTCTCGCACATTACGAGCAGCTTCAGGCCACTCGTTTCGCGCGAACGAGAGTGCAAACCTTTCTTTTGACCTCAACCACAACGTAAAATGTAAACACGATGTCTATATAGTCTCGGAAGATGTCAAGTTCCCAGGCGACATCCTGTTAGGTATGGACTGGTTAAGGAGGTTTAATTTTAGGATAGTTTCATATCACTCTCCACAACGGAGTTACATTACACTAAACGGAGTTCGTGTCCGTATGACTTTTAGTGATACGCCATCATTGTGTATTAAAATACTTTCAAAGCGTCGTATGTATAATCAGCCAAAGGAAGCTAATAGTACCATGCAGGTGATGTGTGCTGAAACGGTAGTTTGTCCACCAGAGACGGGAAAGTTTATTACAGGGCTGGTTCCGGACAACATTCAGATGGTTGCTATGGTCACGGGCAAAACTGCTCAGGTGCTCATTCCACGCGTGTAACCCAGGTGTCGGGAGGCAAATTATCTATTTGGGTAGTGAATGATCACAAATATCCTGTGATTTTAAAACAAGGAGTAAACATTGCTGTTATTGAAGGCATAGACCAGGTTTATGAATCCCCTAGGAATGAATCTTATGATTCAGCGTTAAATGAAGATGATGATTTTAGTCATTTTAATGATTTTAGTAATGAGTGTCATGACGCTGATACTCCTCATGAAGTTTTTAGTTCAGATTGTTTTTGCGTTTCTAATGCCGACTTTGGATATTCTGGTGATGGTTTTGGTTTTGACAGTAGTTTAGGTCTTGCACATTCTAATTGTTCGTGTTTTTCAGATTTTGATGACTTCACAGATGGTTTGATGAACATTTTGGTACAACCGACTTTGGTTACAATGATGATGATTTTGATCTCTTTCCCACTGTAAGTACGGACGTCTTGCCTATTTCTACTCCTTCGGAGTCTTGTATAGCAAAAGCTAAACTCGATCATCTTGGTTCACACCGAAGTAGTCAGTTGATGGCAGTGTTGCAGCGCCATTCTGTTTTATTTGATGAGTCTGCACCACTAGGGAAAGTACCTAATATCAAACGCCATATTCCTACAGCTGACACAGATCCGATACACACTTGCCAGTGGAGGTTACTCGAGAGTGCGCGAGCAATCATTCGGGAGGAGTGTGATAAGATGCTGAGGGAAGGTATAATTGCACCGTCAACATCTCCGTGGTTGTCACCTGTGGTGCTTGTTAAGAAAAAGGATGGAGGTATCCGCTTCTGTGTGGATTACCGAGGTCTGAACCGAGTAACAACTGCAGATACATTCCCCATGCCCAGGTTGGACCAAATGATTGATGAATTATCAGGTACGCAGTGGTTCTCAGCGCTCGATGCGAAGTCTGCTTACTGGACGATTGAGGTTGAGCCTAAAGATCGCAATAAGACTGCATTTAGTGATGGATTTAGGTTGCTACATTTTAATCGTATGCCTTTTGGCTTGGCAACAGCCTCAAGCACATTTCAACGTGCAATTAACGCAGTTTACTCAAGATCATTTGAAGAACATTTGTCTCACCTTGACGAGTTTGGCCTCTTAGTCCAGGCAGGATTTCGGCTTAACGTATCAAAATGTTAACTTGCAGTAAATTCTTTCAAGTTCTTAGGCTTTCTTATCACTCCACAGGGTATATCACCTGACCCCGAGAAGGTAGAAGCCATCTCGAGGATGCAGCCTCCGCGGACGATAAGACAGGTCCGTCAGTTCTTGGGTGCCACCGGCTTCTTCCGCAAGCACGTAGACAATTATGCTACGTTGGCGGCCCCATTAACTAGACTTTTGCGGAAAAACGAAAAATTTACATGGGGACGAAAACAACAGTCTTTTGATGGTTTGAAACATAAGTTAGTTACAGCGCCTGTTTTACGAAAACCAGATTTTGGCAGGAAGTTTGAAGTTCATTCTGATGCTTCAGGTGTAGCAATAGTCTTGTTTAATGCAAAGGGACGAGAAGGTATACCCAAGCTGTGGCATATTTCTCACGGAAGTTAAGAGAGTCCAAACATAATTATCCAGTGATAGACTTAGAAGCGCTTGCCGTGGTTGAGTCAGTACGTCACTTTTATGGTCATTTTTCCATCTATACAGATCATAGACCTTTGGTGTATGTTTTTAAACAATCTACAAAGTCTGTTAGGATGACAAGATGGAGCCACGAACTTTCCTCTTATGATTACGAAATTAAGTACAAACCAGGTGCTTCACATCACCTTCCAGATCTCCTCAGTCGCAAAGTAGATCTTATTGATGCTGGTTTCGATTCACAGCAGGTAGCAGAGGCACAGCAGAATGATCCGCTATGGAATGATATCATTTTATACCTCAGGGAACAAAGGGCTCCTAGGAGGATTTCCCTTCCACTTGATGAATTTGAACTCAAAGATGGCCTTTTGTATCACCAACGTGTATTGCCAGAAAGGGTCATACAGCAACTTGTCATCCCTCGACCTTTAAGGAGTAAGGTACTAGAGTTTGTGCATTGTGACAAATCTGCCGCTCACCCGGGCATATTTAGGACTTACTGTAGGCTAAGAGACGGGTATTATTTTCCGCAAATGTTAGCTGAGGTCACCAAGTTTGTTAGGTCATGTATACAGTGTCAGAGGAGGAAAGGACTTGCATCTAGGCAGGCTCCTCTCGCATCTATGCCGGAAGTAACTCAGCCGTTTGAAAGAGTCTCGGCTGATTTGATCGAAATGGTGACGTCTGCCAGAGGGCATCGGTATGTCTTGGTTGTAATTGATCATTTTCCCCGTTATCCCGTAACATATGTATATATTTTATTCCCGTTATAACTTGTTCCATTACTTAACAAAGATGTTGACTCAGTTGCAGTCGCTTTCATTGAACGTTTCTTCACCTTGTTTGGGCCGCCTCGGACATTACCAATGGATAATGGTAGCGAGTTCACGAATAGATTATTTAAACAGGTCTGCCAGATCTTGGAAGTAAAAACCATGTACACAACATGCTATCACCTGCAGGCAAACGGGATGGTGGAAAGGGTAAACAGGGTCTTGAAGGACTCCTTGGCGACATTGGTGGGTCAGCATCCACAGGATTGGGACCAGATGCTTCTGTCTGTTCGTCTGGTCTTAGACACTTCGGTCCACAGGAGTGTTAATCAGACGCCCCTGTATCTTCCCAGGGGGAGAGATAGGTATTTCCCTGCCAACTTGACGAATTACCAGGAAGCAGATGAGGATGCTCATCTAAATGGGTGGTGGCAGTGGCTCCTCTTTCACATTATTGCGAGACATAATTGTATAGGTATTTGCTACATAGTCTCTGGGGAGGGGGGGGGGCGACTAACAAGGCCCACCTCCCCACAGCCACCCATTAACCACAGGGAGTAAGGAGGTAGGAGTTAGCATGAAGCCAGTGCGCGTCTGCACGCCGATTGGCCATAACTTTACCTTTACCTGTTGCTCTAAACGCCAACAAGTAGCGAGTGTAGTTAGAAAACGAAGCTTCCTAGATGAGGTCCACGTGAAGCTGGGAGGAGTGATGATCGCATCCATGGCGCATGGAGAGCTATTGGAGTTTTCTATAACTGATCATTAAATGACCACCTGTTGTTGCATCTTTTATATTATTTATTTATCTTTTTAGCATCATTATTTTCATAGAATGTGTGATGTAAAAATCATAGAAAACAAGCACCTCAGTCTGGGTCTAGAAGAGGGCGGCTTAAGACCCAGGCTTTACAGCCCACGAGTCTTTCTAGCATACACTATACACTTGCGTTGTTGGCTAGGCGTTGCCATTTTCAAGGTTTTATAGTTCTAATTATGCCATGTTAGTCTTATGCACAGTTCACAAGAATTCACATTAAATGGTAAAACTTCGGGAAAAAATCAAATGTTCTCACGTACTACACTTTTTATTTTTGCATATCAGTACCTAAAATAATAAATAATAAATAAGCTAACATTACAAAGTTGATTGGAGTAGTTTATCAATTCATATCATTCTTCATGAACCAGACTTCGTTGTTTCGGCCGATGATGACGAAGGGAGAGTCGTAGCCAACAGTGTAGTAGGTCTGGAAGTCGACGCCTTCCTCGCCGGCTGCCACCAGGTCGTCGTGAAGCTGCGCGGCGTTCACGATCCAGTCCTCGTCGTTGGCGAACCCGTGGAACCTCCTGCAACAAAGTCAGCAGTTTTTATTTACATCAGGGTTTGTACCAGAAATTAGTTTTCACTGTGCAAAGGAACTTGTCTTCCTATAAACTACGTGAAGGAGAAAGAAACATAAAATCCAATTTACCTGGAGAAGACGTGCAGTTCCGGTCGCTCTTCGATGTACACGTCAGGGTTGGTGGGCGTGGGCGGGTTGTCTTGGTGGGCGGCGGGGACGTAGAAGCTCATGGTGAAGTTGTTCTCACAGTTGGGTCCTTCTCCGGGGATGACCAGCGTCGTCACGGGAGCTGTCATGTCATCTTCATGGCTGTCCAGGAGCGGAGAGAACGCTTTTTAAATTTCTGGACGTCACTCTCACCCTGCCTATTTCTATGATTTTTTTCTCTTGCTCTTCTTACTTTGCATAGCTATTCGCTATTATAAATTACCTCTGTCTACTTATTTCCTTAAATTTCGCACACATAGTGAATGTTATGGGGTGAAAATATATACATACATAATTTTATGTTTATAAATAAATATATATGTATGAAAAAGTTTACTGTGTCTCATAGAAATAAGATTAATACGGAAAATCATATGAACACCCTTGCAACATTATATTACCTGCATCATTCTGTCCGTCGATGTAGTTGAACAGCTTGCTGAACATGACGTCACTGGTGGCTTCGTGGTGAGAGATGGAGAGGTGGGATGTGGTGACCCACTTCTGCGCCGGGTACACGCGCTCCTCGTACGTCTGCGAACAGACACTTATCCCTCATTACTTGTTACACCAGTTGTTTTAAGGAGAACATAATAATGATAATAATGAATTAATAAATAAACAGAAAAAATAAAAAGCAGGCAATTCTAATATGAAGAAATTCAGTAGATTAAAAAAACAGGATTCGAAGAAACGACTTACCTCAGCGGAGTTAACTAGGTCATAAGGAGCGGATTCGATGGCCAGGGCGAGCTGGCACACCTGAGGACCAAGAGAACATGAAGTTCAGAAGGCATCACAGACTTCACTTTATTATATAAATTACCGTCGGAGTATGCCCTCGCAAACCTAATTGAACTGAATTATGCTGCCTTATGAAATGAATTAAGTGTCTGAGTAGAATTTCAATGAAATTGTCATTCTTCTTTCAAGAAGGCAAATGATCAATGCATTCACCTGAGCCAAGAGCGCGAGAGCTGCGAAGGTCCTCATGGTTGGCGAGTGAATGAGCAGGAAGTGGCGGTCGTGTCTCTGGTCTGCTTCTTATAGGCCAGACTCTGATGTAACGGCGATAAGGGAACCAGGCGAGAAGCTTGCAGGTTTCCCACGCTGTTTTATAAGCAGTAAAAACGTATTTTATTCACGTATAGGAAGACCTATTTTGCTTACGTACATGGAGATGTAAAGAAATATTTTCCTATAAGACATATTGCATATTTACGTTCATACATGTATATATATATATATATATATTATATATATATATATATATATATATATATATTATATATATATATATATATATATATATATATATATATATATATATATGTGTGTGTGTGTGTGTGTCATATAATATATATATATATATATATATATATATATATATGTATATACATATATATACATATATATATATATATATATATATATATATATATATATATATATATATACATATATATATATATATATATATATATATATATATATATATATATATATGTATGTATGTATATATATACATATATATTATATTATATATATATATATATATATATATATATATATATATATATACATACATATATATAATATATATATATATATATATATATGCATATGTATATATATATATATATACATATGTGTGTGTGTGTGTGTGTGTGTGTGTGTGTGTGTGTGTGTGTGTGTGTGTGTGTGTGTGCTGTGTATATATATATATCTGTATATATGATATATACATATGCATATACATATATGTATTATATATATGTATATACATAATATATACATATACAAATATATGTATTATATGTATTGCATATTTATATATAATATATATATTGTATATGTATACATATATATACATATTTATATATGTATATATAATGTATGTATGTATAGATAGATAGAAATATGTATGAATAAATATATATATAAATAACATATATACTCATACATACATATATATATTCATATTTATATATGAATGTATAAATATACATAAATATACATATATATATATATATATATATATATATATATATATATATATATATATATATATATATATATATATATATATATATATATATATATATATATATATATATATATATATATATATATATATATATATATATATATATATATATATATATGTATATTATATTATATATATATATATATATATATATATATATATATATATATATATATATATATATATATATATATATATATATATATATATATATATATATATAGTGTGTGTGTGTGTGTGTGTGCGTGTGTGTGAATTATACATATATGAAATATATATATATATATATATATATATATATATATATATATATATATATATATATATATATATATATGTATATATATAGAGAGAAAGACATATATGTATATTAGCAGTTAATATCTGTTCATGCATTCTACTTTTTAGTTGGAATTGATCAAGAAAAAAGTATTATGCCTTCTATGCTTCATCAGACAGAAATATACTTATTTATACAGTATATACATACACATATATGTGCTATAATTATAGAAACAAGGGATTATATAGCAGGAGAAAGAATGTGAGACAGTGAAAGCTACAAAACTCAAATGTATTCTCTCCGTGTTTATGTAGCCATGAATATCGACATGACAACTCCCGTGACGACGCTGGTCATCCCCGGAGAAGGACCCAACTGTGGGAACAACTTCACCATGAGCTTCTACGTCCCCGCCGCCCACCAAGACAACGCGCCCACGCCCACCAACCCTGACGTCTACATCGAAGAGCGACCGGAACTACACATCTTCTCCAGGTAAATTGGATTTCACGTTCCTTTCTCTTTAACGTAGTTCATAGGAAGGCAAGTTCTTTTGCTCAGTGAAAACTTGATCCCGGCTACAAACCCTGACTTCAAAAAACTGCTAAATTTGTTGTAGGAGGTTCCAAGGGTTCGTCAGCGACAAGGACTGGATCGTGACCGCCGTGCAGCTTCACGACGACCTGGTGGCAGCCGGCGAGGAAGGCATCGAAGGCTAGTTTATAATGCTACCTTCTTTATTATATATATTGATATTATTTTTGATATGCAAAAATATAAAATGTATATGAAAACATGATTTTTATTATTATTATTATTATTTCCCTAAGTTTTACCAATTACTATGAATTCTTTGTGAATTGTGCATTTTATTAGCAAAAGTGGCAGACATTGGAACTATATTTTCTTAAAAGAAAAATCAAGCTGCCTTTGTTCTAACTGAAAATATTAACTTTTAATTCTTAACGCTATTGGGTAGTTGTGAATGCTGGAGACTCACGGACTGTTACATCTTTCTCTTAAGACGCTTTCTGAAGCAAGAAGATTATGTTTTAGGTAGCACTGGTTATTTTGTTGGTTAGCAGGATAATTCTCAAGCCAACTTAGATGCCATCAGATTTTGGTGATGATCCGGATCATGATCCGGATCCCGTGCTGGATAACTCAAGATATTAACAGATTTATTTTTTTATTTATTTTTTTATTCATTTATTATTATATATATATATTTTTTTTTTTTGAGGGGGGGGATTTTTTTAAAATGATTCGTTAGCAATGCGAGATAGGGAAACCAGTGTACTTAAAAAAGAGGTGATTTTATTGTATTTCTTCAAGTGTGAATAATTTTATTGCATTAGAGACTCTCTGAATGCTTTTAGTATGACTGTTAAACCACACATCCTAAAACGCTTCCAGTTTTGATGACAGTGGTCTAAAGGAAATTATGTTAATAGAAAAAAATAAATAAAATGAAGATGGTCAACTGATGACTTAGTTATAGGAAGCTCCATTGATCACCCAGCGACGTGGACTCCATCCCCAACGCCCCTCAACTCCACGGCGACCATATAGTAAAACCGGCATCATCAGGGCCTTGAAAACATGTAGCTTGGGCCTTCTACACAGGTACCAGCATCTCTAAATATTCTTGTTGTGAGGGTTCATGACCCTGCTGCCAGGCCAATCCGTCTACTGACTTCTTGGTCTGACAGCCTAGAGTTATGAACTACACTACCGAAGTATGTAAAGCTCTTTCTGACCAATGTCCTCACTGCAAGGATGTACTGACCAAACAGGTTCTGGCAAGTCGGCAAAATCTTGAATCTTGGTCCAAGAGGCCTCTAGATCCAGGGACTTCGCTCCCAGATCCACCACTAGGGTTTCCAAGGATTCAAGATAGAATAACAAAATCGATAGCAAAGTCAAGGCCAGTAACCCTGATATTGCCTAGAGTTGTTCCACAATGAATTTGAACAGTAACTCTGCCCAGTATCCAGCCCTTTCAAGTGTTGAAAAATGTTGGTGCAAGACACCGTCTTGCCTCACTCCTAACTAACAGGAAAGAAGCTCGACAGGCCCTCACCACACTTTACCACACACACAACACTTTCAGTACCTGTATACAAACTTCCCATTAGTCCAATAATTCTTGTTGGATTGCCTCTCAACAGGATCTTCCAGTGATTCCCAATGCACCGTATCAAATGCCTTCTTAAGATCATTGTGAGCTGCAAATAGCCCACACCTTAGCTCACAACGGCACTCTAAAATAAACTCAAAGCGCCAGGATACGGTGTATTGTGGACTTGTCAGGAGTGAATCCATGTTGCTCCGGCCTCTGGTCCCTCAGCAGGTGATCTCTGATGTCTCAGACAGATGTGGGCAAGAACCTTGCCTGGTATACTGAGTGGTGTGATGCCTCGATGATTGCTGCAGTCCCATCGATGACCACACCCCTCAACAGGTCAAGGTAATGGTAGCAGACTTCCAGATGGCAGTCAGGACAGCATGCAAACCCTGAGCCATAGGTTCACCACCAGCCTTTAATAGTTCAGCTGGGATGCTGCGGATATCTGTGTTTTGTCACTCTTAAACTTGGAAATCGCCCTTCCCCCCTGACTTCAGTTAGGGAGGGTAGATCCTCACTGATTGGTTGATCTGTCAGTGGAATCTCGACACTACCCACATCTACCCATTAACTGTTGGTGATCAACCTACTACAGTTACTCAAACTACGCAGCCCTGTGCTCCCATACACC